GGGGCCTCTTTTGTTTAACATTTACATGCTTCCGCTGGCTCAGATTATGAAAAACAACAAAATGTTACCACAATTATGCAGATGACACACAGATTTATATAACCCTTCACCAGGGGACTATGATCCCATATGGGTGCTGAGTAACTGTATTGAGCTTATTATTAAGTTATTGTTTTTGGAGCCAGGGAGGAACGATTGAAAGTCAGTGCTCAACTTCAATCTGTAATGTTAAGAACAACAAATCCAGCCAGAAATCTTGGTGTAGTCATGGACTCAGACCTGAATTTGAGGAGCCACATTAAGACAATTACAAAGTCAGCCTACTATCACCTGAAGAATATATCAAGGATTAAAGGACTTATGTCTTAGCAAGACCTGGAAAAACTTATCCATGCATTCATCTTCAGTCGACTTGACTACTGTAACGGGGCTCCCTAAGAAATCCATCAGACAGCTGCAGCTGATTCAGAACGCTGCTGCTCGAGTCCTCACTAAGACCAAAAAGGTGGATCACATCACTCCGGTTCTGAGGTCTTTACATTGGCTTCCTGTATGTCAAAGAATTGATTTCAAAATCCTGCTGTTAGTTTATAAAGCACTAAATGGTTTAGGGCCAAAATACATTTCTGATCTTCTGCTTCGTTATGAACCATCCAGACCTCTCAGGTCGTCTGGGGCAGGTTTGCTTTCTGTCCCCAGAGTCAAAACTAAACAAGGAGCAGCGTTCAGTTATTATGCTCTGTATATTTGGAACAAACTCCCAGATAACTGCAGGTCTGCTGAAACTGTCAATTCTTTTAAATTAAGACTGAAGACTTTTCTTTTTACCATTGCTTTTAATTAAATATTTACACGGTGAGAAATGAGTAGGTAATTGAGTGAAAACATAATGAGAGTGAGATTGAACAGAGTGAAGGAAGTGGTCTTAAATCTCGCGCCCGAGTGATTTGCAGGACCCTCTGTCCACCTGTAAACGTGCAGGTGGGTCCAGAGTATAACTGGATCAAAGTGGCCTGCTTCCCTTTTATCCCTGCTGTGACATCACAGGGACGAAAGCTAAATGCGACTCAAATAACGCTCCCCAAGCAGCTAGTCCAACATGCCCTCAAAAACACCAATGGAAAAACACTGAGCTGCAGCACACACTTCCTCTCCCTTTTAAACACTAGATACCCTCCAGGCAGTCTGTGGACAAAAAGTTGTTACTGTGATGTAGAGACAGAGCTTAGTTAAAACTTTATGGATGGAAAAATACTATTATATAGAATACAGTCCCTTCACGTTCCATGTTGCCAAACTGGTCGGCAACATGTAGCCTATAGCTGAATCGAAGCGGTTTAAGCCTAGTTCACACTACACGATTTTTAGCCCCATTTGCTGCTCGGCGACCATCAAGCTGTGATCGGGGGTAAATCAGTTGTCCATCTGCAGTCGCCAGTCGTTATGTGTGAGCTACACAAGCACACATCAAAATGGCTCCCCGACACATTTCTGACACATCGCCAACGTCTGCCAGATATCTAGCATGCCAAATATCTGGAAGAGTCGGCCGACTTGATATCTATATCCAGCCAATGAGAGCAGGCAGCTACTTTTCACTGCAAAACTTTTTTTTTTTTACTCACCTCCAGCTCTCTCTGTAGCTCAGACGATCCCTGCTAGCTGTGTGAGCTAATCCATTCTTACACCTAGATTCTTTGTCTTTATGATTGGTATCTTTATAATAACAAACAACAGCTGTTTCGTGTGTAGGTTCGTGTCATTTCCCGTTTCACATTTCACGTGTGTTTTCTTGACGAAACGTGGTTTGGAGACCAGCGCCAGGTGACACAGCCGCTGTCAGCTTGTGTGGTGTGTGTCCCCCTGTTACCGATCAGTCACATAGTGTTAACGGCACAACGACTTCAAGACTCCCGTCAAAAGACGGCAAGTTGTATAGTGTGAACGGCACGGCCATCGCCCGACGCTGAGAGTCATGTAGTCTGCACAAGGCTTTATGGGCTTCTCGCTGACCCGCACTTCTCTGCTTCTGATTGGCTAGTAGTCCTCAACTACGAACTGCACATGTGCAACTCCCAAAAAAGATCATTTAGAGACAAGATGTACATAAGGTGAAAAGAGAAGCTGCAGCAATGTGCAGTATGAAAAAAATATGGTGTTTTTGTTAAAATTAAACCTATTGAGGGGTTCTGGTACAACCGCTAAATAGGATTTTGAACCTGAAAATGAGCATAATACCACCTCTTTAAAGTGATACCTATAAGAATTAAGTACTTCATTTGACACCTTGTATAAAATGCCACCTGTTGAAGCCATAGTAGGGTATTATTTTTATTGTTGTTATGGTCAAGCAAGGTTATCTATTTTATTTCTTTTCTTTCTTAGGTTTCTCACATAACTGTTACATAAAAGTATTGGGAAATTGTATCAGATTGCTCCTCATCCTAATAAGGTCATCCTCACGGGTAGTATTGTATGGGGAAAGACTACAGCTTGCAATTTTTCTATACTTGGAGTGAAATAGTTTAGCGACCAAATAAGTTGTGAGAAACGAATTTAAGACATTTTTTTTTTTTTATGTGTTAAAAGTAAAGAACTAAACATTAAAAAATAAATAAATAAATAAATAAAAATCCTTAAATTGATGTGATGGAATGCAGCAATTGATCCCTGACAAGTGAGGAGAATAGCAAAGAAAAATGTACAGAGAAGTGTTAAAAGATACCAGAAGATGAAACCAACGGAAAGCCAAGCTTGTAGTGATGAACTGTGACGAACATGCTGAAGGTGAGCCGCTGTTAAAAAATAAATCAGGCATGGCGTTTGCGCCTGCAGGCCTTTTTTATACAGCTATATAGCTATATATTTCTCTACGAAAGAAAAACCCTGTAAGAAATAAATCTACACTCAATTATTGTAACATAAAACATAACGTTATTGCTGTGACCCAGGAGGAAGCTGGGAGGGTGCAGTGAAAAACAGGAGGGTTAAACAAGTCATGAATGTTTCAGGAGAGGAGAAGTGATAGGGGTTATTTTTATTATAATTTAAGTCATGTAATTAAATGTGACAAATTACTAACTCACCTTAACACAGCCAACACTCTGTTGTTTATACATTCTCCGGTAGACTCTGGTCAGCTGTTTGTTCTCTTTTGTGTTTTTCTGGTGCTTTTTGTCTGTCCATTTCTTTTTAATAGTCATAAATCTGCTGTTATAAACAAAGATGCTGATTTAAATGCAATTAGCTCATATCGGCTGGGCTCTAATCGTTAGTTTTGCTATGTCCAGGATTCTGGGACCTGTAGTTTTAAAACGCACTTGCTGTTACCACCAGTAATCACAGAGGTCACAAAAACAACTGACTGAAATCATGAGTTTTACAACTGTTGAGAATTCCCCCTGACGTTGGCGTTTTTTAGGATTCTGATAATAAGATGGTATTGGTCTAGTTCTGCTCTGCAGGCGTTGTTTGGGGTCTTACAGAATTCTGTACAGAAAGATGCAATTGGGTGTGAGTAGACCCCATATATTATTCCCATAAAGGGCACTATGTTCTAGAGTCGATGTGAAAATCTTTAGCCAGATGTTTATTGGTATATCAATTTTTATATTTCTTCGGATGGCATAATAAGTATTTCTTGCTTTGACCCTCTAATCTTTCACAGCCATGTTGACGTTTCCTGTTGTGCTCATGTTAAACCCAGATTTGTGTAATTTTTTTGTGTTGTCTATACATGCGTCTAAATAGAATTTGTGCTTGTTTTCTTGATGTCCGTATCGGTTTTGCATCATCATCTTGTCATGCAGGATATTTAGCTGCTGCTAGAGTTTCTTTTGTTGGGGATAGGAGGACTAAATCATCTGCAAATAGAAGGTATTTAATCTGTGTGTCCTGCAGTTTAAGGCCAGGTGTTGCAGAATTTTCTAGTGTTTTTGCAAATTTGTCAAAATATATATTGAAGAGTTAGACTCAAATTACAATCCTGGCGTAAGCCACGCTCTTGGGAAAAATATTCTGGGACAGGCATCCATATGGGACAGGCCTTTAACTCCTTTTGCACAAAACTGAAACTACTATGAAACAGTTTATTTATCTCAAAACAGAATAATACTTGTATAAAAATGATCAAATAATATCAAATACACGTCATTCATTTGATCTAGCTCCGACAGACGAGTTATGCACTTTTATTCTGAAGTAACATCAGGGCAACAACACGGTGCAGGATGAGAGAAGTTAGCAGATTATTACCAATTATGACTTAGAATTAGACTTTGGGGCTCGTTGTTTCCCTTAAATGATCACATCAAAATGTGTTCCCATACCAGGCCTGTAAATGGGATAGGCAGCTATTTGGGAAGTTTTATGGTACATTGATTTTATGATGTCATTTTTTTCAGTTTTCCCTCCAACTCCACTCGCAAGCAGTTTATAGAATAAGCCATCATGCCATATTGTATCAAATATTTTTTTTTAAAGTCAACAAAACAAGAGTAGATTTATTTATTTATTTTGTTTACTTCTTGTTCAACGCGCATGTGCACAACGGATTGGGCAGGCGACACGGATTAGCACCTACAGCTAACCAGCCGAACAATCACGGTTCAAGCATTCTGCCTCGCTGCAACGTGTTTTTTTGGGACTTGGGCCAGCTGCAGGGGAATAGTATCTGAGAGCAGAACACACTTTTGAGTCATTTGAGTTTTCACTTTGTAAAAAGGACTTTTAAAGATCATCACAGGTTTTGGGCATTTTTTGTTTGTGCTGTGATTTAAATAAAGACAAACATTTACCTGTTGTAAAGGCTGTAAGAGGACACAATTTTCTGCCATAACATAGGTGACTTTCATAACTATCAATATGTATGGGAAATGAAGGTTAGTGTTATTGTTATGGCACTAAAGATGCTGTGAAAAAATTTGGTGCACCTAAATGAAAAAATTTATTTGCACAACTGCAACCAACGCGAAAAGTTAGTCTGGAGTAAATGGTCTTACCCTTGCTCGTAGGCTCTGGGTGATCCCTCTGTGATCTCAGCAGTCGCCTCTGCATCATTCTCAGTCAAGTCACAGATGATAACGTCATCTGACGTCTCAGAGCCCGTAACGCTATTCAGACTGTTGACAGACGACTAAACAGGACGTACACAGTCAGAACTATTCCCAAATAACACAACATTATCTTTATAAAAACAAAAAATAACCAAGTAGGCTTAAAAAGTCAAATATGAGAAGTAACCAACAACGTTCACTATGGGTACTGCTGCCCATGTTTACCAGGTACTGTTATTTACTGACCTGTTCCACACACACTTTGTCATCATAGATCTGATGGATGTATTTGGGCTTCTTTCCATTGCTGTTCATAAGAATTGGCCTGTCAAATACACAGGGACAAGTCAACATGTAAAGTTCATACAGACTTTCTTACATTATGAGAGTGATGACAGCTTATTTCAGACAAAAAAATTTTAATAACAGATTAATGATGCAAGTCATTAAAGTACAAATTCCAATACTGAACCCCAAATTCATGTGGACATTGAGAATGACAGCCTTAGTACTGCGTTTATCTCTCTGTTAGATTCTATTGGATTCTCTAAGTGTGTTCATAAACCGACTGTTTTAACTACACCCTCGACCTTGTTCTGGTATATGGTATTGAACATTTAATAGTATTCCCACAGAATCCCTTTTTATCTGACCACTTACAGTTACTTTAAAGTACAACAGTACTTTAAAGGAATTGCTCTAAGCTGGTTTAAGTCCTATTTATCAGATCGATTTCAGTTTGGCATGCATGGAGAACTCATTATTAACACGTACAAAGTAGTCATGGATCTGTACTCGGACCAATCCTCTTCACTTTATATATGCTTCCATTAGGCAATATTATCAGGAACCACCCCATAAACTTTCATTGTTATGCAGATGATACTCAATTATATATATCATATTAAGCCAGATGAAACTCATCAGTTAGCTAAACTTCAAATGTGCCTTGAGGATGTTAAACTCAGATAAATATGAAGTTATTGTTCTGGGGCCCAAGCGCCTCCGTGACGCATTATCTAAAGATATAGTTTCCTTGGATGGCATCGCCATGGCCTCCAGCACCACTGTGAGGAATTTGAGTTTTTTCGCCTTTTTCACCTACATAATATTGCGAAAGTCAGGAACATCCTGTCTAAAAATGATACAGAAAAACTCGTCTCCTGTTTTAGCTTCTCTGCATTGGCTTCCTGCAAAATCCAGAATAGAATTTCAAATCATTCTTCTCAAATACAAAGCTCTTAATGGTCAGGCACCATCTTATCTTAAAGAGCTCATATTACCTTACTACCCCACCTGAGCACTGTGCTCCCAGAATGCAGGGTTCCTAGAGTCTCCAAAAGAAGAATGGGAGCCCGAGCGTTCAGCCATCAAGATCCTTTCCTGTGGAACCAGGTTCCAGTTTGGATTCAGGAGACAGACACCATCTCCACATTTAAGAGTAGGCTTAAGACTTTCCTCTTTGATAAAGGTTATAGTTGGGGCTGGCTCAGGTGAGTCCTGAACCATCCCTTAGTTATGCTGCTATAGGCCTAGACTGCCGGGCGATTTCCTATGATGCACTGAGCTCCTTTCTCTTCCTTCTCTCCCTCTGTATGCAACCTCGTCCCATTAATGCATGTTACTAACTTGACCCCCGTGTTCCTGCTCGACACCCTCTGCTACAATTATTGTTACTAGTCCTATTGTTATGATTATCATCATCAACACTACTAAAAATATCAGTGCCATTTTTCATTCAGTCTATACCAACATTACCTTTACTGTCTGTACCTTTGTGTGTCTATTGTGTAGGCGCTATATAAAAAAAAACTGAATTGAAATTGCTCCTGCCATCGGTGTATAAATGTGCATTTCTGATTCTGTTCTCAGATGGCACCTGAGTCTCTCTTCATCAGGGTGTGAATGGGATGAATGTGATGTAGTGTAAAAGCACTGAGTGGTCGGAAAGACTAGAAAGGTGCTATACAAGTACAGACCATTTACCATGATTTACCCAACAATATGAACTATCATTTTAAAGCAGAAACTGTCAGAGCAATCCTGTGGTGAAGTCCCACGTTGGAGCTTTCATCCAAATGTAGTTAAATATCGTACATGTTAGCATGAAACAGCTCATTATTCTGCCCCCACTGACAGTTTGTGATCGTATGGCCTACAACATGAACAATACAATGTCAGAAATGGCTGTAAATCTGACAGCTCTTCTTATTGGGCAACTAATTTGATAAAGGCTTATTGAGAAGCCGCTAATTAGATTTATTGACCACTTCATCGGTGCTTCCCTGTAAGATGCAGGGACTGCGTTTCATTTAAAGGACCAGTACTCTTGCTCTAATCCCATATGAAAAACATAACACAGTGGGAACTCACCTTTTGCGTTTTAAATTCAGGATGTGGTTGTTCTGTACCAACGTGATGATGAAATGTATCAGCTGAAAAAAAGAACATGTGAGATTCCACAGATAATGTAACTGGATTTGCAGCTCAGATACGAATGATGAACACAGCACCGGCTGGCTATGGTTATATTCAACATTCCCCTTCCAAAAGTAAGCAATCCAATGCCACATTCCACTTCATAATGACTCAAGCAAGCATGTGCAGAGGATATAGTATCTCACAAAAGTGAGTACACCCCTCATATTTTTATAAATATTTGATTATATCTTTTCATGTGACAACACTGGAGAAATGACACTTTGCTACAAAGTAAACTAGTGAGTGTACAGCTTTTACAACAGTGTAAATCTGCTGTCCCATCAAAATAACATCACACAGCCATTAATGGGCATGCAAACTGGTCAGGGGTTAAAAGGGTGAGAAGGATACGGCATGCAGATAAACACACAGAGATGGTGTCAGAGGGATCTGTTTAAGCTTACATGTTTGTATAGATAACTTTCAATTGTGTACTCCAACAAGAGAAAGATACAGGGCGATAATTTATGATTGAAAGGTTTATCTGATATTATTGGCTAATAACAGCGGGCTAAGTTATAAAATTGGTAACATTACTGTCTCAGACAGGGCAGTTAACACTGTAAACTAGCTTACTTATGTCTTAATCAGACTTGCTTTCCAACGGACAGTTCGTTCAGCAGTAACATTCTAACCATAACGTGTTCAGCAGTTAGACTCCACAGTGTGACTTGAATAGCTGTCAGGTTTAGCCATTAGGAGTGACTATAGGTTAGGCTTATGCAGCTTTAAATTTGCAAAGCTCATGCTAGAGTGAACTTGGTAGATACAGTGGGGAGAACAAGTATTTGATACACTACTGATTTTGCAGGTTTTCCTACTTACAAAGCATGTAGGGGTCTGTAATTTTTATCATAGGTACACTTCAACTGTGAGAGACGGAATCTAAAACAAAAATCCACAAAGTCACATTGTATGATTTTTATATAATTAATTTGCATTTTATTGCATGACATAAGTATTTGATACATCAGAAAAGCAGAACTTAATATTTGGTACAGAAACATTTGTTTGCAATTACAGAGATCATATGTTTCCGGTAGTTCTTGACCAGGTTTGCAGCAGGGATTTTGTCCCACTCCTCCATACAGACCTTCTCCAGATCCCTCAGGTTTTGGGGCTGACGCTGGGACTTTCAGCTTCCTCCAAAGATTTTCTATTGGGTTCAGGTCTGGAGACTGGCTAGGCCACTCCAGGACCTTGAGATGCTTCTTACGGAGCCACTCCTTAGTTGCCCTGGCTGTGTGTTTCGGGTCGTTGTCATGCTGGAAGACCCAGCCACGACCCATCTTCAATACTCTTACTGAGCGAAGGAGGTTGTTGGCCAAAATCTCACGATACATGGCCCCATCCATCCTCCTCTCAATACGGCACAATCATCCTGTCCCATTTGCAGAAAAGCATCCCCAAAGAATGATGTTTCCACCTCCATGCTTAACGGTTGGGATGGTGTTCTTGGGGTTTTACTCATCTTTCTTCTTCCTCACAGCGAGTGGAGTTTAGACCATAAAGCTCTATTTTTGTCTCATCAGACCACATGACCTTCTCCCATTCTTCCTCTGTATCATCCAAATGGTCATTGGGTCTGTGAGACCTGGAATTCTTACTGGTTGGTATGTGTCATGCAATAAAATGCAAATTAATTATTTAAAAATCACACAATGTGATTTTCTGGATTTTTGTTTTAGATTCCGTCTCACAGTTTAAGTTTACCTATGATAAACATTACAGGCCTCTACATGCTTTGTAAGTATGAAAACCTGCAAAATCAGCCGTGTATCATACTTGTTCTCCCCACTGTATAACCGACCGACGACAACCACCCCCGACCCCAAAAATATTTCTTTCTAGAGGGGTGTTTGGGGTCGTTATCATGTTGGAAGACTGCCCTGTGGCCCAGTCTCCGGAGGGAGGGGATCACACTCAGCTTCAGTATGTCACAGTACATGTTGGCATTCATGGTTCCCTCTATGAACTGTAGCTCCCCAGTGCCAGCAGCACTCCTAAAACCCCAGACCATGACACTCCCACCACCATTCTTGAGTGTAGCCAAGACACTCCTCACCTGGTTGCCGCCACACACGCTTGACACCATCTGAACCAAATAAGTTTATCTTCGTCTCATCAGACCACAGGACATGGTTCCAGTAATCCATGTCCTTACGCCAGGAATCCACTGACTATCCACCGGCTATGGCACGGTTTTGATGCGTCCATAGCCCGGCGTCAAAGTCCAGTGGAACCGTCTCAGATCATGCAGCCTGCTCCACATTTACTTGTTATTCATTTTTCCTTTTTGTGCTTCTACTACCTTCTTCACAGCTCTGTGTGACAATGTTTCATTCTGTCAACTTCAGGCTGCATTTCCTACAAGGAGCATTTCAGAATCAGAGCATTTTGCCTGCCTGATTTTGCTGACATGTTTAGATTTTTGGGATGTGGTAATCTGTGTTTGCATTTTGCGCTTCTACTGTGATCAAGTAGGCTAAGTAGCTTAATGATTTTGTTTTTGAGTCCATTTAACCGTGCTTATCGTTTTATGATCGGGAGTCTCCACAGGGTGTTTCATTTTGAAAATTGACCGGATTCTCTATGCCATTCTGTGTCTGACTTCCAACCTGATTCGATCTGCTCTGTGCTGGTTGACGCGGCTTGTGGCAAAAATAGACCTGCTACCTATTCTCTGCGGAGCGGAGAGACGCTTCTGGTACGCACTGCGGTCGCGTCTGGTGGACTCAAAAGCATTCACTATAATGGCTAATTGGGCCCAATTTGGACATTTTCACTCAGGGGTATACTCACTTTTGTTGCCAGCGGTTTAGATAATGGCTGTGTTAGGTGTTATTTTGAGGGGACAGCAAATTTACACTGTTATACAAGCTGTACACTCACTCCTTTACATTGTAGCAAAGTGCCAATTCTTTAGTGTTTTTAAATTTTTAAATTTTAAATGAAAGGGGCTTGCGGTTACGGAGATCTGAAATTAATGTTACTTCTATGGATTAGAATTACTGGATTGGATTACTGCAATTCCTTATTATCAGGCTGCTCGAAAAAGTCCATTCAGCTGATCCAGAATGCTGCAGCACGTGTTCTGACAGGAACCAGGAAAAGAGATCACATTTCTCCTGTTTTAGCTTCTTTGCATTGGCTTCCAGTAAAATCCAGAATATAATTTAAAATCATTCCTCTTACCTACAAAGCTCTTAATGGTCAGGCACCATCTTATCTTAAAGAGCTCATAGTACCTTACTACCCCACCAGAGCACTGCGCTCCCAGAATGCAGGGTTACTCGTGGTTCCTAGAGTCTCCAAAAGTAGACTAGGAGCCAGAGCGTTCAGCTATCAAGCTCCTCTCCTGTGGAACCAGGTTCCAGTTTGGGTTCAGGAGGCAGACACCATCTCCACATTTAAGAGTAGGCTTAAGACTTTCCTCTTTGATAAAGCTTATAGTTAGGGCTGGCTCAGGTGAGTCCTGAGTCATCCCTTAGTTATGCTGCTATAGGCCTAGACTGCTGGGGGATTTCCCATGATGCACTGAGCTCCTCTCTCCTCTACTGTCTCTCCCTCTGTATGCAACCTCATCCCATTATTGCATGTTACTAACACAACTTCTCCCCTTTCCGGTAGTCTTGTGCTTTCTCGTCCCTCTCCTCTCTCCTCCTATCACTTCCTGCAGGTGTTTCTGGCTCTGGAGCTGTGGAGTCTGGATCTGTGACTGCTCGACACCCTCTGCTACAACAACTATTGTTACTAGTCCTATTGATATTATAATCATTAACATTACAATTGTTATCATTAACACTACTATAAATATCTGTACCATTTTTCATTTAGTCTATAGCCTCTCACCTTTACTGTCTGTACCTCTGTTAGGTCGCATAAGGTCCTCAAGTTTTGTGTTGATCGGCCTTTCCAAGCCTGAGATATATTATACTTCCTGTTTTTAGCGTTTCGCAAATATTTGTTAGCTTGCCTCGTGGGTTCCCAGCCCACTCGGGCTTGGACCCCTAATAAAACAAGCAAGTTGACATGTATGTGAATACATGGTGAAAAGTGATGAGTCCAGTGAAGTGCTCACCTTTTTGATGAGCTGCTGTTGGTGGGCATGTTTCTGTCTCAGATCAGAGATCTCCCTCCACAGGCCTTCATTCTCCCTTAACAAAACATGTTAAGTTCATTTTAGGGATGAAACGGTGTGAAAATTTCTTATCGCAATTATACCAAAATTATCACGGTTAACAATATTATCACGGTATTGTAAAAATGCGCCAAAAAATATTAAAATGTACTGATACACACATAGAAACCATTTCAACATGTTTTATATTGAAAACTACAAATACAATTGCCATTTTGTTTGCATAAAAAATAAAACAGCAAATACCTTTTGTAAACAAATGAAAATCATCTAAGTGTGCATTATCAATATTTTATATTATAGGCCTATAGGTAATACAATTATCCCGTGGACAATTACATGAAAACAAATAAGTCTTTAGAAGACCGTGATAGTAACTGTAATGAGCCCAAAAACTGACATGAATACAGAGGAGTCTGTAGCGTTTCTAGATATGCTACGTAACGTGTTATGAGCAATGGACGAACAGACTCTGCCGACACGACTCACACAGCAGCAGAACAACGTGCAGCGTTTTTACAAGAGCAGCAACACTGAGAGCTTCAGTTTACACGCTGTTGTTAGCAAGTCAGAGACAAACCAAAGCTAAAAGTTAACTCACCCTGCATTCACTGTAAGGTTATTTTCTTCAATCAAAAGTTTCCCTCTGCAGCGCTGTCTTCCGTCGTGTTTTCATTGACCCAAACAAATCGACGTTGCATTCTGCGCATGCGCACCTGCGTCTGGGAGACGCTGGAAAGTGTTTGCCATGAGATTATAACAGCACGGTTAACCGTACCCGGTTATCATGGTAATTAAAATGTGTACGGTAATAAAAATAACCGTTAAACCGGTAATCGTTTCATCCCTAGGTCATTTACAGAGAGAGAATGGACTGCAGAACTAACCCTGTGACTTCTGTCTGATTTTTGTTTAACGAAAATATTCAGTGCCAATGTAGGAATTAGTTTCTGAACATTTTTAACACAGTGTAATTTTTAACTGTTGTGTAATGTATTTTATTGTATTATTTTAGGATGCCTAACAAGATCAGGCAAAGGGACTGCCGATGAATGCTAGCCTGTGGCTAACCCGGGTACACAAACTTGTAAGTTTTCGGTTAACAGCGTGGCGGCGAAGTTCCACGCTTCACCATGACACAGACTGTACATGCTCAGATCTGTCCGAAATTTTACACGTTTAATAAGGGTCCCACCCTGAAAACATCTACAAGCCACCAGCACCCGGTAGACGTTTCAGTCCTCCGTGTTTTAAGCATTTGAAAATTCAGAGCCGCACCGGCAGAGCTATGGAATATACGGCTTGACCGTGTTACACCCGGATGCGCTACACATGCGAGGGCCCATCTAATGCTAATATTTTTATTAATTAGTAATATCATTATTAGTACTAGGTATGGGGATTGTTACTTTTTATTGATACCCTTATTGAGACTGCAGGTAACGTTACCTGGTCGAAGGAGGAGTGACTAGTTTGTCTCAGCCAGCAGCTGAGTTTTTAACAATGTGTCAAATTTGTTTGGATCCTTACTGGTGGAATTCTCTACATGCAACTTTGGTTGTTGGCCATATTTTGGTCATTGTTATATATATTTGGGTATGAAATGTACAGAACTTTAGTCTCACCTCTTGAGTGTTGCCAGCCTGGCATCAATGTTCTCCTGCTTGCTGTGAACACTCTGGACACTTGCCAAGATCTTAGTCAGGTCTTCCTGTCGAATCTTATTGTCCTCTGGCCGAGCATTAGAAACCTGAAAGAAAGAAATTACAATCAAATCTTGTGTTTACAGCAAAATTGTGATACAAGTACTATTTGAGAGTGTTGCACAAGACATTAGCCAGCAAATGAGAAAAGGAACCAGACAGAGTGAATGTCTTGATATAGGGAATATTTAGGAACAAACTTTAATTTAACAAGACTAAACAAATCTGCACCTTGCTCCGCCCTTGGTGTAAAGAGATGAAACGAACATGAATTCCTTAACCTGACTTTGCTTTCAGCATCTTAAGTGTTCCTCGAAGAACAGCTGAGCAGTTTGTTAGGATACTTGGCAAGTGGATGTTACTTTACTCTGCTTTCAGCAATGTCTGATCTCAGTGAAAATGACCATGATATATACATATTTACATGATGGATTTTTGAATGTTTATGAGTCATTCATTCACTGTGGAGTATTTGGTAATGGCTGCGACATGTGCTTGTCAAGCACTGCTGGGATCCCTTGAGTCATGACGTCTTTTATATTTATATATATTTTAAAATGTGAATTCTGTTGACTGAACAGATAAACTGATAATGGAGAGATGACTTAACCTTCCTCTTGATATTCTCCAGCAGGTCATCCTGTCCATGTTTGAAGTAGGGGTGCTGAAACTCTACTGGACCGTCCCTCTCCTGTTTCACAATACCGGTGTCAATGTGCATCACTTTACGGAATCCATCTGAACAGACAGACACACACAGGTAAACACATTAAAAAACAGTAACACAGACTCCATCCTAAATGTATGTGTGATATGGCTGGCCAGTATATCAGTATAGTGAGATATACCTATATAATTTCAAGAGAGATAAAATTAGACAATATCATATATACCGATATAGTTTGATGTTGAGTTAATTATGTCTCCTGCCAGCTTTTGCTTGTCTCTCATCCTCACCACACAGCCCCTCTACTCACAAACTCTAACAACATGGAGGGAGACACAAAACCACAAAACTATTTTTTTTTTTTTTTATGGATAGGGTTACTGAAGACCTGGCTTGTAAAAAGAAAACAGTTCAGTCAGTGTTTCCCATGCATACACTTTATTTCAGCGAGCCACCCAGGTTAGGTGACACATTGTAGCATTTTTCAGAGAAACGCAGGATTAAAACATTACAAGTCGCGCCACGGTGGATATTTTACAAGCGTGGACCAGGTAAAACGACAGTGAACACCCCAGTGCAGATGTCATTCGTTAGCTACCATGCTGGTTTTGTTTCGAAAGGCTACGTCATCAATACCAGGGCTGTACATATCGATTATTTTTCAAGTCGATTAATCTAACGACTAATTTTGTTTATTCTAAAGAAAGAAAAGTTGCCTATTACTCGATTAACATACCAATTTATCCAAAATAAATATCAAAAACATGTCTAATCAATAAATATATATTTTATTCAATCATCCTGATGAAGCACATTAGAATAATGACAATAGTAGCAAATCTGAAGGAAATTATTTTCTCCACCACCCACTTGCCTGCTGATACCTTTGCTGCCTTCTTCACAGGAAAAGTGGAGGCTATAACTAGCCAATTCTTTGAAACACTCAAACTCAACCAATGTAGCAGTCCTACTACATCTTTCCTGCCTTTCCAGGTCAGTGGTTGTTCACTCTCCTCGTTTACTCCTCTCACAGAGAGCGAAGTATCAGAACTCTTGACCCATAGCTGTCCAACTACATTCCCACTGGACCCGATTCCTACGAATCTCCTCCAAGCCATATCTCCTACTGTGGTCCCGACAATCACTCATGTCATAAATACTTCTCTGGCTTCAGGAACCTTCCCGACCACTTTCAAAAGGGCCCGGGTTACACCCTTGCTCAAAAAGCCCTCACTTGACCCAACTCAAGTTGAGAACTATCGACCAGTGTCTCTTCTACCTTTTTTATCCAAAACTATTGAACGGGCAGTATTCAAACAGGTCTCAGAATTCCTCTCAGGGAATGACCTCCTAGATCCATATCAGTCTGGTTTTAAGAATGCCCACTCTACTGAAACGGCTCTTCTGTCTGTAACAGAAGCCCTAAGGTCAGCTAAAGCTGCAGCCCAATCCTCAGTTGTTATCCTGCTTGACCTATCACCTGCCTTTGACACAGTCAACCACAGGATCCTGCTATCCGCTCTCTCAGCAACGGGCATCTCGAGTAAAGCACTCCTGTGGTTAGAATCCTACCTCTCGGGGTGTTCCTACAATGTTTTGTGGCAAGGACAATTATCCTCCTCCCACTGCCTCTCCACAGGGGTACCCCAAGGCTCAGTGCTTGGGCCCCTTCTCTTCTCAATGTACACCACCTCACTGGGGCCGATCATTCGCTCGCACGGCTTCTCTTACCACTGCTACGCAGACGACACGCAACTCTACCTATCCTTCCCGTCAGGCGATCCCACTGTCTCAGCGCGGATCACGCACTGTCTATCAGACATATCTGCATGGATGAAGGCTTGCCACCTTCAACTAAACCTCTCCAAGACTGAACTCTTGGTCATTCCAGCCAAGCAATCTATCCACCATAACATCAAACTACAAATTGACTCCGTAACCATCACTCCAACCAAGGTGGTGAGAAACTTGGGTGTCATGATTGACGACCAGCTGCCCTTTTCAGACCATGTTGCTGCTGTCTCTCGGTCATGCCGCTTTTCTCTATACAACATAAGGAAAATCAGGCCCTACCTCACTCAGTACACCACCTAGCTTCCATCAATACCACAAGCCTTTTTTGCTTTCAGGGACTGGATGACTTCTGTTAATTCTTGTTCTGTTACAGGGTAATCTAGAGGGTTTTGGTTGTTTTTTTAATCACCCCCTCCAGAGTTTTCCATTTCGTGAATATCTTGTACTGATCATCATTTTTTGTAATATTACTCTATAAATCACTAAAGTGATTAATCCAAGTATTTCCATCTTGGATCACCAATTCATCCTGCTGGGTTTTGTTTAGGTTGTTCCATTAAAAAAAAAAAAATATATATATATATACACATACATACACACACACACACACACACACACACACACACACACACACAATCCGGATGTTCAAAATACACAGTTAAAACAGACAAAAGAAACTGAATATTTAAACTATGTAGACGACTTAACCATAGTACAAGCACAAAAATCAAGGACAATGGAACAAATAAGCAAAATCTGAACAAGTCAGCAAAGTCAGGCAAAACGCTCTTCTTCTGAAATGCTCCATGTGGATATGTAATGTTAGCCTGCAGAGAGCTACAGAGAGCTGTTATCTGTAGTTGAAGTACACAAAATGGCAAATTAACAACGTGTTAACAACGTGTAGCCTAAACACTCCACTGCTGAAACACTTCAATGTGAGTTGACGTCGGACAAAACCGTGGCGCCTGTCTCGGTTCGGCTGGCGCCATTATCCCACGTTTTCCTCTTGTTTCATTTGTTGTTGTACACGCTCAGGGCCCGCTCTGATTGGTGAGTAGGACTTTAACATGAGACTTGTGATTGGCGAGCAGATGTGTCACACAACAACAACAACGGAATGAATCTGTAACTGGATGACTGTTTAAAACGGGTCAGATGCGCCGTTTAATCAACATACATTTTAATCACCGTCTTCACGATTAGCTAATCGTGTTCTTTCAAATCACAATTTGAAAATGATTAACCGTTCAGCCCTATAATTAACTAACAAAATAATCCATTAAACTGAGTGAGTCCTACTTTTAAGACAGTCACATGACTCCCATATCTAACAGCAAACCAGAGATTCAGCATGAACTTGTCTCCTGCTGCTGAATACATAGTAACTGACCAGCAGCTGATGAAATGTTAATACTGTACCTAAGTATGGTTGCATTAGCATTTGTCCCTGCATATATCCAGCTCTGTTTTTTACTGACTAAAATGTGGTTCTAAAGCAGCAGTGATTAATAAATTAGTTGAGAGACAGAAAAATTATCAGCAACTATTTTGATAAATCAATGTCCTTTTGAAGTAAAACATTTGCTCATACCAGCTTCTAAAACGTCAGCATAGGATGCTCTTCTGTATCCTATGTTGCTAAACTGAAAATCTTTTAGTTTTGGACTGTGGAGATCTATAACAGGCATTATTCTCTATTTCCTGACATTTATATCAAATCAAATAATACATTATGATCTGATTTATTGCTAGTGAAAATAATTGTCACTCGCAGCCCTGCCTGGTTCTGTCCCGGCTTTCTGGCTCGGATGGTCAAGTCCTGCAGACTAACCCAACGAAGCCAAAATCAAACAGCTTTAACCAGACACTCAGTCCCTCTAAAACCACTGCAAAGCACTGTCAAGTGACTAATGTCCTGTGATCGAGTCAAACAAAAGTTGAGGTGATGAATGCAAGCTTACACATATTGAGCTGCCTGATGAAACTGGCCATGTTGTTGTGCTTGAAGAACTTGGGGAGTATCTCCTTGGCAAAGCGCTGCTCGTCCAATACTAGGAAGCTGTTGCCCTCCTGCAAACAATCAACACCACCATGATGGTCAGAAGAGCTCCTCAGAGGGCTAATGTTACTGGATTTACTTTGGTGTGTAACGTAGCTCCATGTCCCGAAACTATACACACAAACACAGCTTTATAGTAACTCAGATGCTGGCATTATGCAGAGACCAGATTTGTCTTAGCTAACTAGTAACTTTGGTACACAATGTAGGAAAATGACTGACTGGGTTGATGTTTAGCTTCTTCTGCTATTGCTTGCCAATCGTTCTCTATGCTGAAACCACTACGTAGCGTGAAATACACGGTTGGTACTCGTGTGGTGTGACGAAACACTACACTTGCGACGTTCATTTGAGGTTAATCTCACTAGCTAGCTGTCTGTTTTGCGCTGGTTTTAATAACTGGCATGCTAACGGTAGTATACAGTTCAGCTTTACCTGACTCCAGCAAATAAATTCGTTGGTGTCTGCATCCTCGACCAGCGTCCAAAGCTTGGTGAGGAAAGCCGGGACGTTCGAGTTGTGTTTCATCGCGTAACTTCAACGACAAGTACACTACAGCTGTAATGCGCAATGTTTGATCTGTTTTTTAGCCTGTGAGAAAAGCTGGTCAAATAAAATTTCAATGGCGTACAACTTCCGGTTCTTTTTCTTCTTCTGCTTCTTCTTCTTAATTAATGGCGGATTTGCAAACAACCTTTAACGCCACCTACTGTACTGGAGTGTGTACATCATATCACTCAACTACAAACCCCAATAGGTGCTCTCATATTCTGTTCACAAACCCAGTGTCTTTAAGAAATTTAAATAATGCCTTCCTGGTGATTCTTATACCCCTTTCTTCTCCTTTTGTTCCCAATACCCCCATCAGATTTCATTCCCGCCCTGCTTCCTGAACCCTATCTTGAAATATCTGTCTTTCCAAATCAAACAATATGCAGTGCAAAATGATATGTTCAACATTTTCTTTAACCCCACAGTTTTCACACTTTTCACTCTTCCTTTTCCCCAATAAAAACATGGTGCCATTCAGTCCTGTGTGATCTACTCTCAGTCTTGTCATTATCATTTTTCCCGCCTGGTCCTTTCACTATAATTTTCAAACTTTTGTATTTTATAGTAACTCCTTCATTTCCTGTCTTCCTCCCACCATTCAGTTGCTTTCTTCTTACTGGCTGTTTTTCCTTTTCCTAGCAGTATTTGAACTGTTATTTCCTTTTTTAATGCCTCTTTTGCTAGTTTGTCTGCAATCTCATTTTCATTTACTCCCTCATGTGTTGGCACCCAACAAAACTGAACATCTATCCCTCCCTGATGTAATCTTAACAAGCTGTGAAACATTTCTATCAATAGGTCTTGTCTGACAGATGTCATTGACTGAATGCTTTTAATAACTGCATAATAACTGCAGTCTGTGCATAATATCACCCTATCAGGTCTGACCTCTTCAACCCACTGTAATGCTATGATGACTGCCACTATTTCTGCTGTATATACAGATAGCCTATCTGATAATCATTTTGAGATATTTATTTTGAATTCTGGCATATGTATTCCAATTCACACACATTCCTGTTTTGTCATTATAGCTGCTTTAAGATGAAAGAAAAACATTTGTAGCACAAATACCACATGTTTGAAGATGCATTACACATTATAAATAAATCGTCTCAGCTTCTTTGGTTTGATTTCCAGTCACTTCCCCACACTTTCCCTGTGTTTCATGTAATACTGAGTGCTGGGAGGTCTTGCTTAGCCTGTGGTCGCTACCTTTTCTGTCAAAAGGTCATGTAATTAACAGAAAACAATTACTGCCTCTCTCTGGCTCACAAAGCACTCAATACCAGCATCTGTTCACTTCCTAATTATCTACTAGGTAAGGAGCTACATTTTACGCGCCTCGTAATTCATTTTCAATGAGAGGCGAGCGTGTAGGAAGGGAGGCCCGGGCATTGGGACAGGTGTAGCGACAAGCGGGCGTGTTCCCGTGAAACTGTCGCGGTCGTCCTCGTCTCACGCACACGCCCGCCCCTGCCAAAGTTGAACTGACCCTTCGCTAAGCCCCGCCCTCCTTAGTTACTGTTGCTAACCCTTACAAAAATTTCCTGTGGTACTAGAAAATGTTCCTATGGTATTCATGTGGTACGACCTTACAGTACCACAGGTAAAGCCAATTCTGTGGTTGTGTATCACAGAACCTGTGGTACTATACCATACATTTACCACACAGTACATGTCCTATGGTACTATACCATACATTTACCACACTGTACATGTCCTATGGTACTATACCATACATTCACCACACAGTACATGTCCTATGGTACTATACCATACATTCACCACACAGTACATGTCCTATGGTACTATACCATACATTTACCACACTGTACATGTCCTATGGTACTATACCATACATTCACCACACAGTACATGTCCTATGGTACTATACCATACATTTACCACACAGTACATGTCCTATGGTACTATACCATACATTTACCACACTGTACATGTCCTATGGTACTATACCATACATTTACCACACTGTACATGTCCTATGGTACTATACCATACATTTACCACACAGTACATGTCCTATGGTACTATACCATACATTCACCACACAGTACATGTCCTATGGTACTATACCATACATTTACCACACTGTACATGTCCTATGGTACTATACCATACATTCACCACACAGTACATGTCCTATGGTAGTACCATGCATTCACCACACAGTACATGTCCTATGGTACTATACCATACATTCACCACACAGTACATGTCCTATGGTAGTACCATGCATTCACCACACAGTACATGTCCTATGGTACTATACCATACATTCACCACACAGTACATGTCCTATGGTAGTACCATGCATTCACCACACAGTACATGTCCTATGGTACTATACCATACATTTACCACACAGTACATGTCCTATGTGGTATAGTACCAAAGAAAAAGTTCTTCTGAGTAAATATTTATTTATTTTAGAGAACACATAACAGTGTCAAAACATTATACAAAACATAATACATAAGAATGTCTATATCCTGAAATTGAATTGTTTGTCAAGTTTTCCTTCTCATATAATAATAAACATCCAACTAAAATATTTTACTATATAGATACTTGGCGAAATGCCCAAATGTCAAATAATATAATATATCTCCTCATGCCGCGAATTGAAGACAACCAGTGGAAACTCAAATAAATAAATAATAGTATAAATTTTCAAATTATTATTATTTTGATTGCTTGATATTTTAGCAATTGATTTTATTTATTTATTTATTTTATTAATTAATTAATATTTCTTTTAATTCTATCTATTTATTAATATACACACACACATTTATTTATTTTATTTTAATTTTTAATATATTTTTTATTAATATTTAATTTTTTTATTAACACACAAACACAACTTTTACTGTTTTATTTACTTATTTAATGAAATGCATGAAATTAATTGTTCTTATAGCTTTGGCAATATTGTTATACAGTCATGCCAATAAAGCTGATTTGATTTGATACAGTTATAAATAAATGACAGATTGTTCATTCTTGTAATCACAGAAAGTGCTTTAAATCTTGAATTTGCCTCGGGATAAATAAAGTCTCTATCTATCTATCTATCTATCTAACTAATTAGTTAATTAACTAACATACTTTACAAAGTAGAGATAACCCAGCTTTTTTCGTAAGCGCTATGAAACATTTTTTAAAACTGTGCTCTGGAATGACCGCGTCAGTACCTTTATGTGGAGGCCCGTTAACGTACAGGGAATTCAACACTGCGTCGTTGAAAACGACTCTAAGGGGAAGCTCCTCGAGCGCCTGCCTCTGAAGTATGAATGAAACCACAACGTCAACTAACGTTAGCTGAAAAGTAACGTTAATGTATCCAAGTGACTGAAACCTTTGCCAGACAGTCGTCAACAGTTGTTATTTAAAGTCTGGGGCTGCTTCTTGATACCTGCGCTTTGGTCTGGTAAGTAAAAAAGTTTATCAAATGTCGGCTGTCTGTTGTCAGGCACAGTAACATTAACAGAAAGGCTAACGTTAACTCAAGTTAAGCTGGCTAACACTGAGTTAACGGTAACTTTGCACCAAGGGCTGTAGTTATGTAAGCCGTATATGTATAATGTGGTGACAGTCAAGCTCTGCAGTCAAGTATGATAAGCGGTTTGTAGTAAGATGTAATGTTACTCAGAAAGTCCTAGCGTTACTGTTCAGCCCTTCTATTGCAGAGACTAACGTTAGTTGCCTCAAGGAGTTTGGTTTTTTACTGTAGAAATTTTCCATTGTTCAATTCAAATCACAACAACAGTTATCTCACAGCGCTTTTCATAAAAGAGCAGGCCTAGACCGTACTCTATGATGTTATTTACAGAAGCCCAACAATTCCCACAAAGAGCAAGCACTAGGCGACAGAGGCAAGGAAAAACTTCCTTTTAAGAGGCAGAAACCTCGAGCAGAACCATGGCTCAGGGTGGGCGGCCATCTGCCTCAACTGGTTGGGGGTGAAGGAGGGAGAGCGAGAGAGAGAGAGCGAGAGAGAGAGAGAGACGACAAGAGAGAGAGAGAGAGAGGGCAAGAGAGGAACAGAGAGAAAAAGAGAGGGATGGAAGGAGAGAGAGGGGAGGGAGGCAGCCTACACAATATACACACATAGAGGTACAGACAGTAAAGGTGATGTTGCTATAGACTAAATGAAAAATGGTATAGATATGTATAGTAGTGTTAATGATAACAATCGTAATGTTAATGATTATAATAACAATAATAATAAGACTAGTAACAATAGTTGTTGTAGCAGAGGGTGTCGAGCAGGAACACGGGGGCAGCAGGTGACCCCTGCAGCTTCCAAAATGATCATACTGTTACGTTCAGGGGTGGTTATGGCAGAGTTGAGCAAGTTGGAGGACCCAAACGCAGGACACGTAGGCTAGCAGGTAAAGTTCAATTTTTCAATTCAATTCAATTTTATTTATATAGCGCCAAATCACAACAACAGTTATCTCACAGCGCTTTTCATAAAACAGCAGGTCTAGACCATACTCTGTGATGATATTTACAGAAGCCCAACAGTTCCCACCAAGAGCAAGCACTAGGCGACAGAGGCAAGGAAAAACTTCCTTTTAAGAGGCAGAAACCTCGAGCAGAACCATGACTCAGGGTGGGCGGCCATCTGCCTCGACCGGTTGGGGTGAAGGAGAGAGAGAGAGGGAGAGAGAGAGAGAGAAAAAGAGAGGGATGTAAGGAGAGAGAGAGGGGAGGGAGGCAGCCTACACAATATACACACAGAGGTACAGACAGTAAAGGTAATGTTGCTATAGACTAAATGAAAAATGGTACAGATATTTATAATAGTGTTAATGGTAACCATCGTAATGTTAATGATTATAATAACAATAATAACAATAAGACTAGCAACAATAGTCGTTGCAGCAGAGGGTGTCGAGCAGGAACACGGGGGCAGCAGGTGACCCGCAGCCACAGATCCAGACTCCACAGCTCCAGAGCCAGAAAACCTGCAGGAAGTGATAGGAGAGAGGAGAGAGACGAGAAAGCACAAGACTACCAGAAAGGGGAGAAGTTGTGTTAGTAACATGAAATAATGGGATGAGGTT